CTCTCTCTCTCTCTCTCTCTCTAGGTATCTTGGCCTAGAAAAGAAAGCTTCTGGCTGGCTGCCCGAGGGGCGAGGACGGGGAAGGACACCTGTTTTGTTCGGTGTGACCTTGGGCAGCCCCCTCGGCCACCTGTGCCCGGGCGGCCCACCGCAGTGGGGGACTCGGGTCTTCTTCCCACGACCTAGTGGGGTGGAGCCTGTCTGGGCCACGAAGTTAATAGTTTGGGACCGGAGTTGTCCCTTTCCTAGGGAGTTGCACGGGATGGAATTTGCCAGAAATGTATTTCCTCCCAGGGGAAAACACTGGAGCCCCTTCACTGTGTCCTCATTTATTTAAAAACAGGACTGACTTGTTTTCAAGTTGCTCTTTATTAGCAAATGTTTGTGCAGTAGGCAACAGATGGACTCTTTTCCTCCACTCCGCCTAGCAGGGAAAATAATTCTTCCTCAAACCCCGATTCCTGGTATGTGACTTGTGTCCACGTGGCTGGTTTGTGGTGGGTTTGGGCTTTGTGTGCCCACCCACTCAGTCCCCCCCCCCCCCAGCCCAGCTCTGCTAGCCTTTCAGTGCAGGTAGAAACCTTATCACTGTCTTCTATACCAGTCCATCTTACAGAAGGTCAGAAGGGTGCAGAGGGGTCATAAGCACTTGTGCACATTCATGTTCAAGGCAAGGCACAGGCCATGGCTTTCCCTGGTTCCAGCATTGATTGCTTCAGGGTTTAGAAGAGTTAGGAAGCCTCCAGGTTGGAATCTGCCAGAGCCTGGACTGTCTGATGGTGGGGGTCAGTTACTTCCCCTCTGCTGTCCCAGCCTCCTCTATAAACCACCTTGCTGGCCTTGTAGGAGGAGTAAATGAGTCTAGAATGCACTTTATACAAGTTAGTCCTCTCTGGGCCCCATCCTTAATCTCAGGATGATACTTTCCAAGCATGCTCTTCAAGAAATCTGGGCCACATTTAATGCTTTCAGCTGAGGGCCTGAGTTTTAGAGCTGGACAGATCCAGGTTTGTCTGTCAGTTGTGTTCTAGCTTTGTGTCCAGTTTCTCTCCCCTCCCCTTCCTCCCTTTCCCTTTCCTTCTCCTTCCTTCTCTTTCTACCTTTGTTTCTTTTTTGGGATTTGAACTCAGGGCCCCTTGCTAATCAGGTGGTCTGCCACTTGAGCCAGCCCTGTGACAACAAATTTTATTTTTTTTTTCTTTCCTTGGGCTGGGAATGGAGCCCAGGGACTCAGGCGTGCTAGGCAAACTCTCTACCACTGAACTAATCTCTCCATCTCTAAGAATCCTCATCTGTGAAATGGGGTAGGTGGCATCTACTTGGCTGGCTTGATTTAGGAGTTTAATGAGAAGGCACAAGGAAGGAAATGACTTAGGTTTGGCTCCGAGACCGTAGTCTGACTCTGAATTGATACTGGGAGTCAGTATAACCTTGATTTTAACAAAAGGCCTGCCTGGCTCAGCTTAGGCACTAAGAGGAGATTTGCCAGGTACCAGTGGCAAACACCTATAATCCTAGCTACTCAAGAGGCTGAGGATCATAGTTCAAAACCAGCATGGGCAGGAAAGTCCATGAGATATCCTGTCTCCAAAAGCCAGAAGTAGAAGTGTGGTACAAACAGTAAAGTACCAACCTTGAGCAAAAAAGCCAAGAGAGAGTCTGAGCTCCTGAGTTCAAGCCTCAGTACTAACATTTTAAAGAAAAAAAAAAAAGGATGTTATATTCTAGGTGACTGGCTTATGGCCCCAGAGAGTTCTGTAGGTCTGTTCACTCCACCATGCTGGAATTCTTTTCACACCGACTGTCTCATACCTCCAGCAAGACCTGCAGCTAAGAAACCACCTACAGCAGGTGGTGCGTGCCTGCTCAGGAATTGTGTTGTTGTTGCAGGGTTGTGACCACTTACAATGGAGGGAAGCAGACCGACGCGAGTGTCCAGGCCCTACAAGATCAGCGAGTCCTCAAAGGTCTGTGAACGGTTGCTCTGGAGTATGCTGGCGTCCTGCATGAGGGCTCTTGGTGTCCTCACTGTTTATCATGGCATTATAGAACTGCCTCTGTGCAGATTCTTTCTTCCTTCATTCCCTGTATCAGCTCCAGGAGCTGGACAGGACTGAATAGAAGCATGGGGTTTTTGTCTCCATTTAGGGGGTCAACAATTCCAAGGATGGGGGGCTGGCAAGGTGCCTCAGTGGTAGAGCGCTTGCCTTGCATGCCTGAGGCCCTGGGTTCGATTCCTTAGCACCACATAAGAAAAAAGCCGGAAGTGGCACTGTGGCTCAAGTGGTAGAGCACTAGCCTTGAGCTGAAGAGCTGAGGGACAGCGCCCAGGCCCAGAGTTCAGGCCCCACGACCGGACCCAAAAAAAAACAAAAACAATTCCAAGGATGGGTCCCATGGGAACTCCAAAACTTAGAGGCTCTATGCACCCGATGTAAGGATTCAGGATCCTCTCTCCTGCTCATGAGTCTTTTAAGATACCAAGAATGAGTACGGTGAGGCATGAGAGGCTGGGCACCTAGCTGGCTGCATCAGAATGGCCCTGCAGAGGAGGGGAAGGAGGCCAGCTAGAAAAGCCATTGCCTGCATCCATTTGCCACTCCTTCAGTTTAAAGTCTGAGAGCAGGATCTGTCACAAAGTCTGGGGGACTTGGGGGGACATTCCCCATGTATTCATCTCTCCTGATTATAAATACGAATACTGCCCTGTTCACTTTAGAAGTGTCCCTTTTGGAGATTAAATTTTGTGATTAGTTAGCCAGGCACTGGCTCATGCCTATAATCCTAGCTACTTAGCAGCTGAGATCATGGTTTGAGGCCAACCAGGACAGACACTTGAGACCACTTTTCAACCAGATGCTGGGCCCTGTGGTATGCACTGCCGTCCCAGTGCTGTGAAAGAACAAGACTGGGAGGATCATGACTGCAGGGTAGAAAAGTGACTGAAATTCCTTCTCCATGGAAAGAGGCTGGGCATGGTCGCACATCCCTGTCATTCCAGCTACAGTGGGAGGCCTTAAATAGGCAGATTGCTAGCCAAGAAGATGCCTGTGCAGAAAGTGAGACCCTCTCAAAAATAACTAGCGCAACAAGGGCTGGACGTGTGGCTCAGCAATAGAGCACCTGCCTAGCAAACAGGAGGCCTTGAGTTCAAACCCCATTAATGCCAAATAAGGAAATAAAACTCAGCCATTTACTGTATGTTTACTTCTTCTTCTTCTTTTTTTTTTGTCGGTCGTGGGGCTTGAACTCTGGGTCTGGGCACTGTCCCAGAGCTCTTCAGTTCTCAAGGTGAGCCCTCTACCGTTTGAGCCACAGCGCCAGTTCTGGTTTTCTAGTGATTTATTGGAGATTGAGTCTCACAGACGGGCTGGGAAGGTGGCTCAGTGGTAGAGCGCTTGCCTTGCATGCATGAGGCCCTGGGTTCGATTCCTCAGCAGCACATAAGCAGGGAGAAAAAAAGCCGGAAGTGGTACTGTGGCTCAGGTGGTAGAGCACTAGCCTTGAGTGAAGAGCTAAGGGACAGCGCCCAGGCCTTGAGTTTAGGCCCACGACCAGACCCCCCCCCCAAAAAAAAAGAGTCTCACAAAATTTCCTGCCCAGGTTGGCTTTGAACTGTGATCCTCAGAGCTCAGCCTCCTGAGTAGCTAGGAGTGAGCCACTGATGCCCAACTTGTATGTTTACTTTAGATTGTGCATTATCTTTATGCTGTGGCCCCTAAAGGGGTACAGAGGGACTGTACAGTTGGTCTTTATGTATGAAGCACAGCTATACTTCTATTACTTAGACAGACCTGGAGCTCAGGCTGTAAAATTTCAAGTGTGGGAAGGGGGTTATTAGGATAAAATACCTTAAAAGCCTTCTTGGTGGCAAAGGGAATGGAGCAGCCTGAGGACTGAGAGCAGGGGAGAAGGCCTTGGAGATGCACGTGGAAGAAAACAGGGTGTCATTTGGAGAAGAGGGGGTTCTGCACAGTGGTCCAGTGCCATGTGAGTTTGCCAAGAAGACTCCAGCAGCCGTGTGGTCGCATTCTCCGTGGAAACCCCAAGGGGCCCAACTGCCCTCAATGGTACTTTGTTTCCAACCTTGGCTGCTGAGACAGCTGAGTGTCACTGGCTGCCTTCGATAGCATCCAGGGTCTCTGTCCTTTCAAGCCCCAGGGGAGCTCTCAGGGATAAAGGTTCCTGAGTCCTTCATGATTATGCCTCCCTTCCCACTTGTCTACCTGCCCCCCCACACACACTTAAACACAATGCTTGATGCTTTTGCCAGAAGGCTGGCCATGCCTCTAGCCCCATGTTTAAGTTTCTAATTTTTTTTAAATTTTATTTGTCTGCTGTGGGGCTTGAACTCTGGGCTGGGCTCTGTCCCTCAGCTCTTCAGCTCAAGGTGAGCACTCTACCACTTGAGCTACAGTGCCACTTCCGGTTTTCTGGTGGTTTATTGGAGATGAGAGTCTCATGGTCTTTCTTGCCCACGCTGGCTTTGAAATGTGATCCTCAGATCTCAGCCTCCTGAGTAGCTAGGATTACAGGTGTGAGCCACCAGTGCTGGCTTTTATTTATGTCTGTATCAATACTGGGGCTTGAACTTGGCCTCAAGTTCTCATTTGGCTTTTTCACTCAGTGCTGGTACTCTGCCACTTGAGCCACACTTTCACTTCTGACTTTTTGGTGGTTAATTAGAGATAAGAGTCTCATGGACTTTCCTGCCTGGGCTGGCTTTTTCTTTTTTAGGTTGTGGAGCTTGAACTCAGGGCCTGGGCACTGTCCCTGAGCCTCTTTGTGCTCAAGGCTAGTGCTCTACCACAGCCATTTCTGCTTTTTGAGTGGTTAACTGGAGATAAGAGTCTCTTGGGGGACTTCTCTGCCTGTGCTGGCTTTGAACTGCAATGCTCAGATGACCCAGCCTCCTGAGAAGCTAGGATTACAGGTGTAAGCCACCAGTGCCCGTCTGTTTCTAACATCTTAAAAAGATAACCAGTGTGTGGGCTGGTGTGCCCACACTAGATCGCTAGTGTGCCCTGGCAGCTGTGCACACTGAGCACGCCATGTAGCTTGTAGCCAGCACCCAGGTGGAAACCCTGGGTGGAATCATCGGTGGACACACTGTATGTGTATGTCTGCCTCAGACCCCCCCCCCCACCGGGAAGGGGCTATGACAAGTCATCACCCTGAAGTGGGTGGGTCCACTTTGGTGACATAGATTCCTCACCCCTTCAGCTGAGCTGAAATGCTCAGACCACACCATGGTCAGGGCCCAGGTAGAGGAGGACATACCTGTCAGCCCAGAGCCAGCATCAGTATGAGAAAATGGGTGCACGTGTGTGTGCGCATGCACACACACACACATACATGCACACAGAGCACCTGTACCTCCTCTGATGCGGTCTCACGTCTTTACTATTTCACACTATGTGATTCAAAACGCTGCTCGAGCCTTGGGCTGACCGTAGGCCCAGCGTGCGCAGGGCCGCTGGCAGGTCCTTCCTCTCCTCACCTCCCCCTCCACGCAGGTGTACCACTGGGCCGACCACTCGAGCACCGTGCTACAGCGGCTGAATGAGCAGCGGCTTCGAGGCCTCTTCTGTGACATCGTCCTGGTGGCTGATGAGCAGCGGGTGCCAGCCCATCGCAACCTGCTGGCGGTGTGCAGCGATTACTTCAACTCCATGTTCACGCTGGGCATGCGGGAGGCCTTCCAGAAGGAGGTGGAGCTGATCGGTGCCTCCTCCATCGGGCTCAAGGCTGTGGTGGACTTCCTGTATGGGGGGGAACTGGCCCTGGATGGCGGTAACATCGACTACGTCCTGGAGACAGCACACCTGCTGCAGATCTGGACGGTGGTGGACTTCTGCTGCGAGTACCTGGAGCAGGAGGTGAGCGAGGACAACTACCTGTACCTGCAGGAGCTGGCCTCCATCTATAGCCTCAAGCGGCTGGACACCTTCATCGACGGCTTCGTCCTGAGCCACTTCGGCACGCTCTCCTTCACGCCCGACTTCCTGCAGAACATCTCCATGCAGAAGCTGTGCGTGTACCTGAGCAGCAGCCAGGTGCAGCGCGAGTGTGAGCACGACCTGCTGCAGGCCGCCCTGCAGTGGCTGACGCAGCAGCCGGAGCGCGAGGCGCACGCCCACCGGGTGCTGGAGAACATCCACTTCCCGCTCATCCCCAAGAACGACCTGCTGCACCGCGTCAAGCCCGCTGTGTGCTCGCTGCTGCCTCGGGAGGCCCACTGTGAAGGCTTCATCGAGGAGGCCGTGAACTACCACAACAACCTGGCCGCGCAGCCCGTCCTGCAGACCAAGCGCACTGCGCTGCGCACCAACCAGGAGTGCCTGCTGTTCGTGGGCGGCGAGGTCTCCGAGCGGTGTCTGGAGCTCAGTGATGACACCTGCTACCTGGACTCCAAGAGCCAGCAGTGGGTCAAGGAGACGCCGCTGCCCGCCCGGCGGAGTCACCACTGCGTCGCGGTGCTGGGCGGCTTCATCTTCATCGCAGGCGGCAGCTTCTCGAGGGACAACGGAGGGGATGCGGCCTCCAATCTTCTTTATAGGTATGACCCCCGCTGTAAACAGTGGATCAAGGTGAGATTAAAGCCACATTACTTCTTTTCTCTCCAGGCTTCTTGGTTTCCTTAACCTTCTGACCTCCCCTCCCCTCTCTTGGCCTCCATGACCACCCTCGGTCTGAGCGAGGTGTGACCTCCCCTGTCAGCCCTGCCTGGGACACCAGGTTCTCTTGGGCCTCCACCTTGGCAGACGCGTAATGTGTGTGACACAGTGGTCACCTGCCTGGGGTTGTAATTGAGCTCTTGAGACTGAAGCCCAGGTGGGCCATTTTCTCCCTTCCTTTCCCCTGCCCCTGCCCCTGCCCCTCCCTCTCCACTCCCCCTGCTTCTCTTTGTGCTGGTCCTGGGGCTTGAACTCAAGGCCTGGGCACGGTCCCTTAGCTTTTTTTGTTCAAGGCTGGCACTCTGTTACTCAAGCTACTGCTCTACTTTTGGTGTTTGGGTAGTTAATTGGAGATAAGAGTCTCAGACTTCCTACCCAGGCTGCCTTAGGGCTGCAGTCCTCAAATCTCAGCCTCCTGAGTAGCTAGGTTGACAGGTGTGAGCCAGCAGAGTCTGATTCAATTTTATTCCATTTCAACTAAGCTGTTACATATAAACGGCCACCAGACTGTCTATGAGACTGTAGCTCATACAAGGTTTCCCCATGCTTGGAGGTGTTTTTGTAGTTGTTTTCTGGAGGCTACAGAGCCCTCCCTTCCCCCGCCCCCCAATCCTGAGCAGTCTCAAAGCATGGTCCTGGCGCTAAACTAGCTCCTGTTGTGAGCCCCTTGCTGACAGCTTCATAGCCCTCCTGTGTCCTGTAGGACTTATACCCACGTGTGTCCTGCTGGGGTTACAGTTTTTTGAAAAGCTTGGGTCTACTCTCTAACTTGTTTTTAGTTTTTTTCTTTTTTGCCAGCTGGGGGGCTTCAACTCTGTGCCTGGGCTCTGTCCTTGAGCTTCATGTTTGCTTAAGACTAGCACTTTACCACTTGAGCCAGAGTGCCACACCTGGCTTTTTCTGAGTAATTTATTGGAGATAAGAGTCTCACAGCTTGAGCTGGCTTCGAACCCTGATCTCTCAGATCTCAGCCTCCTGAGTAGCTAGGATTACAGGTGTGAGCCACTGGTATGTGGCACTTTCTACCTTCTAGCTGAGTACCATGTTCTACTCTGTTAACACTGATGGCAGTATTCTTTATAGCCAGGGCTGGGGAGGGGGGAGGTGGCTAATGGCCACATGGGCGGTCCCAGGGGACACATAGATGAGCAAGATGAGATTTTCTTCCAGAAAAAAAAACCAAAACGCTGAAGTGGCAGATCTGAGCTGTGTGCTCTGCAGAAGCCTAGTGAGCCAAATGAATTTGGAGACTGATTCAGTCTGAAGACAGCTTGTGGGTCTCTGAGAAGCCCCTGCTTCTTCCGGCTCACCTCCTCTTCCAGCTCCCTCGGCCCTGCCTCCCCTCGGGCTGTGCACTCCGTGGCATGGTTGGGCAACGTGGTGCAGGGTGGGGAAGGGAAGCTTCAGGCATCTCGCCCCACAGGTGGCCTCCATGAACCAGCGTCGTGTGGACTTCTACCTGGCCTCCATCGAAAACATGCTGGTGGCCATTGGTGGCCGAAATGAGAATGGCGCGCTGTCGTCTGTCGAAGCCTACAGTCCCAAGACCGACTCCTGGTCCTACGTGGCCGGCTTGCCAAGGTAAGGGGGCTCGCTGCAGGCTCTTCCAGCATGCGGCTTCCACGGATAGAGTCCAGCCCACCTGCCTTCAGAATCTTTAGCCTCCAGTTCTCAGGGAAAGTCTTGTCTACACACAGCCGCGGGTGAGCCGTGAGGGGCCGAGGGCTTGGAGATCCCAGGCTCTGCCTTCAGACTGCCTGAGTGTAAGTGTCAGCTTTGCTGCTAAGACAGGCATCCCCCAGTTTGCGTCCACTCACTTCCTCAGCTTCAGAATCCGTTGAGCTGTATCCGTAAGGGATCGGCTGGGGGCTACTGAGCTCAGAGGGAGGAGCCCCAGCCACCCGCCGGCAGAGCAGCGCCATTGCAGTGACCCACAGCATTGCTGGGAGGGCAAGATGAGGTCCTGCAGCAGGGGACACCCAGCAGCGCAGGATTTCTCACCCTCTGAGCCCTGCGGCCAGGCGTCACCTGCAGTACCAACCTCCCGTGGCTCCTGGAACGCTGTCTCTCTGCGGGACCTATCCAGGCTTCCTGGGGACGTGGGCCCCCCGTTAGAATGGGGGTTGAGTGTACGCTGTTTGAAAGTCACCGTTGGAGAGTGAGTCCACACCCTCTGTTCCTAGATGTCCACTTCCAGACACAGGTTCAGGAAGCTGCTGGACGCCTGCCCTCTGGCTCTCTTTTACTTTTGGTGCCGGTGCTGAGACTTGAACCCAGGGCCTTGGGTTCTCACTTGGCATTTTTACTCATGACTGGTAACTCCACCATGTGAGCCAGACACTGCCAGTCTGGTTCATAAGAGAATCTTGTAGACTCTCCTTCCTAGGCTGGCTTCCAACCTAAACAGCCAGGATCGCAGACATGAGCCATGGTTTCCCAAATTGGAATCCTTTTTACTTATTCACTCACTTACTTTACTTTGGCAATACTCAGGTTTGAACTCAGGGCCTGATACATGCTTGGCAGGTAGTCTACCACTTGAGCCGCACCCTCCATCCCTGGACAAGTATTAGGTAGCCGGTCGCACGGCTCTGGGAGCTGAGTGTCACTGGGGATGGGCCAGGGGGCTTTTTTTTTTTTTTAATCAGTTGTGGGGCTTGAACTCTGGGCCTGGGCGCTGTCCCTCAGCTCTTCAGCTCAAGGCAAGTGCTCTACCACTTGAGCCACTGCTCCACTTCCAGTTTTCTGGTGTTTAATTGGAGACAAGAGTCTCATAGACTTTCCTGCCTGGGCTGGCTTTGAACCGTGATTCTCAGATCTCAGCCTCCTGAGTAGCTAGGGTGACAGTTGTGAGCCACTGGTGCCCGGCCCCGGACACTTTCTGTCAGGAGTTCCTGGTGGCCCCTGTGCCACCTACCCTGTGTACCAGGGTAACAGTGAGCCAGCCCAGACCCCTGCTCTCGCTTAAGTTTGATGCTTTATCATCTCGTTTTCCAGATGGCAGGTCTCTCCCTCAGTGGCCTGCGGCCTTCCTTGGCCCCAGTCACTAGAAGGGGAGTGCCTCTGTTATCAGCAGGGAAATGAAGATTCAGAGGAGGGCAGAGCGGGGCTGTAGCCAGGCGGCCTGACGCACGGCTGACTTGCCCTGTCCTGTTCGCCTGGCTGCTCCCCCCTTGCCCGGGGAAGCCGCCATCTGTAGGGCTGTGGAGGATGCCTGTTCCCTATTTCCCCTTGGTGCCAGCAGCCCCCATTTTAGAGAACACCAATCTGTGTCCTGTGTAGGCAAAGCTGTCCACACCGCACCCTTCCACCGCTCTTTCCCGGGCAGGTTCACCTACGGCCACGCAGGCACCATCTACAAAGACTTCGTGTACATTTCGGGGGGCCACGACTACCAGATCGGTCCGTACCGCAAGAACCTGCTGTGCTACGACCACCGCACCAACGTGTGGGAGGAGCGGCGGCCCATGATCACCGCCCGCGGCTGGCACAGCATGTGCAGCCTGGGTGAGAGCATCTACGCCGTGGGCGGCAGCGACGACCACGTGGAGTCGATGGAGCGCTTTGACGTGCTGGCCGTGGAGGCCTACAGCCCGCAGTGCAATCAGTGGACACGCGTGGCGCCTCTGCTACAGGCCAATAGTGAGTCGGGTGTGGCGGTGTGGGAGGGCCGCATCTACATCCTGGGCGGCTACAGCTGGGAGAACACGGCCTTCTCCAGGGCTGTGCAGGTGTACGACCGCGAGGCCGACCGCTGGACCAGGGGCCCCGACCTGCCCAAGGCCATCGCCGGCGTCTCCGCCTGTGTCTGTGCCCTCAAGCCGCGGCTGGAGGACAAGAAGAAGAAGGGCAAGGGCAAGCGTCACCAGGACCGGGGCCAATGACCCGGCGCACACCAGCGCCGCCTGCACTGGCGTGACTCCGTAGCAACTTTTTGTACTTCTACGACGCTTCATATTTCTACCATACCACAGTAACCAACTAGATATTCCACGTAACTGGTATTATCTTGCTTAGGCAATTAAACCTAGGCCCAGGTGATGTCTGTCAGGCCCTCCTCCTGGAATCCCCTTAACCGTCACCCTGAGAGTGAGCTCATGGGATGTGCAGGAATTTTTGTAGTGAAACTTGGGGTCTCAAATGGATGTTTCAGATCACCTAGCCTGAGCTTTCCCAAACCTGCTGAGCTTTTTTTTTTTTTTCTCTTCATTTTTGGCTGAGTTTTATGAAAAAACAAAAACAAAAAAACAGGTTCCAGGGCCCTTCCTGAGGCTGAGCAAGTGCAGCTCTGAGGAGAGACCCAGACACATTCACAGCCACAGTGAGGCCCAGCTGTCTGTTTCATGAGTGAAGACTCAGATGGTCCGCCAGGGTGAGGGAGCGGCCCAGAGCGGCCCAGGGTCCTGCAGCTTCCTGGACAGTCACGCAAGACACCCAGACCTCTTACCGCCCCTTGCTGGCATTTCTTACCCGATGATTTAGGTCCAGATAATCCCATTTCTCCTGGCAGGTAATTTTCCTGAATTCAGAGGGAAGGAAGGAAAGAGTTCTGAGGGAAAGAAGGAAGGAAAGAGGAAGAAAGGAAGGAAGGGAGGAAAAAATAGCATGAAGCTATTTACAAATGTCGACAGTTTGGACTTTGTTTTACTGTTGCATTACTGATGTATACTAAGCTCTTAAATCTACACTTATTTCTCAGGAAAGCATAGACATTGTTGAGCGCATGTAGTAGTTGTCTGAGCTTTGGGCCAGCACTAAGAGCTCCTCCACATAAGCTTGCTGGTCCCCAGGGAGGTGGTGGAGAACACCCAACATCAAGTGAAACAAACTCTGGTTCCAGTTACTACTGCTAGGAGGTTTGGTGGTGCTCAGAAGAGACCTTTTTTTTTTTATTATTTTTTTTTTTGGTGCTGGTACTGGGAGCTTGAACTCAGGGCCTGAACACTGTCCTTTACCTTTATTTTTCCCCAGTCCTGGGGCTTGAACTCAGGTCCTGAGCTTCTTTTTACTTAAGGCTAGCACTTACTTAAGCCAAAGTTCCGCTTCTGGCTTTTTATGCTTATGTGGTACTAAGAAGTTGAGCCCAGGGCTTCATGCATGCTAGGCAAGCGCACTGCCACTGAGCCACATTCCCAGCCCTCCTTTAGCTTTTTTGTGCAAGGCTGGTGCTCCACCACTTGAGCTCCAGTTCTACTTCTGGCTTTTTGCTGGTTAATTGGAGAGAAGAGTTTCACGAATTTTCCTGCCCAAGCTAGCTTTGAACAGCAGTCCTCAGATCTCAGCTTCCTAAGTAGCTAGGATGACAGGTGAGCCACCAGCACCCAACAAAGACTTTGCTCTTCAACAAATGCTCATTCACCCCCTTTCCTCACACCACAGGCTCAGGGGGAGTCTCACAGGCTCCTGCCAGGTGACAGATGGATCTGTGTGCAGGCTCTGCGGCCTCTCCCCTCCTGCCAGGCTTCACTGTGGCTTTGATCTACCACAGGCCACAGGGCTGAGGAGAGTCCCTGTGTGGCCTGGCAGGCTGCGGGGATGCAGTCTCTGTGCTCTGTAGCCTTCTGTGTGCTCATGGCTCTGGGAAGTTCCACATTAACGGTTAACCTTTAACCAACATTCCTAAGCTTTGAGCCTGCAACTCTGTTCTCTGTCTCACACGTAGTCCCAGACCTCTGGGAACACACTTTGCAGCTCTCCCCAGCCCCCATCCTAGGACAGGCTTGATGACATGAGGGTCCGTTCGCAGCCACGGCATAGTGGATGTGGCCTGAGTGGGCAGTGTGGCACATCGGCACTTAGAAAAACCCCATGAGCAGTGGTAGAGCGGGATGGTCGGGAGGTGAGACTGTTGATTGGCGCTCCAGCCAGCGTCCTTTGTGCCTGCCTCGTGACCAGGCTGCATGCTGGCCTGGAGCCTGACCTCCTCGTCCTTTAAAGACTGGTATGTACGGTTCATCTTGGGGACCAGCCTCCAAGTTGACAGCATTGCCACTGCTGAGAAAGGTTGTTGAGATGGGAGACTGTAGGGCAGGTGGGGTACCTGGACCAGATGTGTGAACCTGAGTCTGCCCACTCCACTGGGCAACCCGACTGGGAATGGAGAAGACAAACAGGCAGAGCCGGGGGCGACTCAAGGCAGGCGGGGGGGAAGGACAGGGCACCATGCCGTGCTGCACACTGACCCCAGGGGACACTTTGCCGGTGTGGCTAAGCTGTCATGCGCCTGGCAGTGTTGGCAATTCTTGAAAACAGGTTTTTGCTTGTTTTTCTTGATTTTTCCAAATAAGCATGGCAGGTTTTTATTCCGGTTGTGATTTCTTTTTTCTTTTTTTTTGGGGGGGGAGGGGTGTCAGTCGTAGGGCTTGAACTCTGGGCCCAGTCGCTGTCCCTCAGCTCATCAGCTCAAGGCGAGCGCTCTACTGCTTGAGGCACAGCGCCACTTCCGGTTTTCTAGTGGTTTATTGGAGATTAGAGTCTCATGGACTTTCCTGCCCGGGCTGGCTTTGAACCGCGATCCTCAGAACTCAGCCTCCTGAGTAGCTAGGATTACAGGCCTGAGCCACTGGCACCCGGCCTCAGGTTGTGATTTCTCATTTTGAGAATCACTTGGGGTTTGGAACTCACCCCATTTGGAGGCCTCTTAATGGAACAAGAGAAAGGGGAGGGGGAGGGAGGGCTGTGCCGGCGGGCTGCAGGGGGCTGCATTGGGAGGCTGAGACCCTGACCCCTGCCCTCCCGCCCTGCCACCCCTGTAACACAGCGGGGCGGAGCTTGGAGACCTCACACTGGGGCCACACCCTGTGTACCTCCCACCTGTCCCTAGATGATAGGGGGACTTAGGAGGGGCCCCAGAAGCTCACTCTAGGGGGCTTGGGGCATTCAGATCAGGGTGGGAAGCTCAATGTCAAAGGGAAGGGAGATTTCCTCCTCCCAGGCCTGCGGTCTGCTCTGCCACTTCCCCTGTGTTCTGTGGCCCAGGTAGCCAGGCCCTGAGGCAAGAAGGCCCTTCCCATCACCTGCTTCAGGATCTCCCTTCCTTCTTGACCCTGCAGGATCCCGGGTGTCAGGCTTGGCCGGCACCAGCTCTCAGGCTCTGGTGGCCGTAGCTGGGCTCCCAGCCTCTTGGTGTGGGTCTCCTGGTATCTCCAAGAATGTGGAGGATCTGGGAGGGGAATGGGTGTGCAGAGCGGTTCCCAAGTGCCCCCCCCCAGACCCTGACCCCTGCATCCTCCAAGCTGGCTGTTTTTAGAGATTTTTGAAATGTTTTGATACTTTTTGATACAATTTGCTAAATTACCATTTTGTAGATTATCAGCCAGGTTCTCCACCTCATCCCCTCCCTTGGGCCTTTTGATTTGCCGGGATAATAAATGCCCAGTGGTCAGTGCCAGGACCTGGCCTAATGTAGCATTGTCCTCAATCTTTGCCCATCCATGAATTTTGTAAAGTCACACGTGGCCCCCAGTGGGGCCATCCCTGCCCCCGAGTGATCTAGAGGGCACTGATTGGCCAAGAGGCCCAGTAATGCCCTTTGTTCCTGAGCTTCTACCTCAGTAGTGGGCAGAGTGGCAAGGACACCTGTGAGCAGTTCCTGCGTTCCTCATACCGGTCATTTCTCCAGCAGCTGCACGCTGAGCCCTGTTCTCTTCCCGTCCGCCCCATCTTGTAAGACGCCCTGATGGGACCTCCACAGAACCCGCACAGCCCTCCTCAGCTTTGCAGGTGTCTCCTTCCTTCCCTCCCTCCCTCCCTCCCTCCCTCCCTCCCTCCCTTCCTTTCTTTCTTTCCTTCTTTCTTCCTTTCTTTCTACATGGATAGAAAAGTTTAGGGAATGACTCAAGAACTAGTCCTTTGATTGCCTTAGTTAAACATTGAATGAATGTAACATTTTCGGGGTGGGGGGGCAGAGGGGTTTGCCTTCCCTGTCCGTTTTCTCTGAGAGAGATGCACTTCCACCCTTTGGAAGTTACCTTCAGGCCGTTTTGCAGGTTTGATTGGCATGGAAGAAAGGTTTGGCTTGACGGTGGCTCAGCCACCAGCCCCTTTCGGTGATCAAGTGACTCGTTTGATATGTTCTGGCTACTGATGTCACTGGAATGTGTAATTGTAGTTTTTAATTGCTTGCTTTTGTATTTATAGTTTCATGACATAGTTTTTCTGTCTTGGCTCCTTTAATTAATTTTCTGCACGTTGCTTTGGTTTTCTTTTTAATTCCATACAGAGTATTCAACTCTTAAGATGCATTAAAACAATGTGATTGATAGGGTATGGTGTATTTTATTTTATTATGACCTTCCTAGCCTTGTGTAGTTGTTGTAATAATCTTTATTTCCATTTTCTCTGCCCTTTGAAAGGGAGCCCTTTGCATGTTAAGCCCAAATACAATTTGGAAGTGCACCAGGCTTTTGGTATGTGTGGGAGGCCAGGGTGTTTCCACTCAGCTTTCTTGTGCTCTGACTGCCCAGTTCACCCCGACGTCTGTCCACCTCCCACGCCACGCCAAGGCTCGCGGACCTGAAGTGAAACCAGCGCCTCGCATTTGTGTCAACTGGGCTAATTTGGCTCAAAGAGAAACATGGAGCGTACAGGAAGGAGAGCCTCAGATGAGGGGTTGGTTATTCTCGGGAAGACGCGAGGCCTTTCTGTGAGGGCCTCGGCCTCGGCTTGATCCTCTGCCCTTGGGGTTGGCCGGGCCACCTGCCCGCCAGCTGTCAGCACTGCGCACCCACCACACCGGGCAGCGGGGTTGCGTCATAGCAGCGCCAGAAGACGCAGCGTTTTCCCAGGGAGGAGTCCACAGCTCCCTGGCCATTGGGCAGTCCTAGGGAGCAGGGATGGCTTGGGGCCTCTGGAAGCAGGCTCCAAACAAGGGTGTGAACGTAGGAGCAAGCCCCGTGGGAAGTGCGGTGTTACGGACACCCAAGGGCTCAGGACTGCAAGCCTAGGTACTCAGGTTCAGGTCTGAGGATTGTGGCTCCAAGCTAGCAGAGGCAGAAAAATCCACAAGACTTTGTTTGTTTATTGCTGGTCCTGGGGCTTGAACTCAGGGCCTGGTGCTGTCCCTGAGCTGCTTTTGCTTAAGGCTAGCAAGCCACCACTTGAGCCACAGCCTCGCTTTTGGCTTTTTCTGTGTCAGTGGTACTAAGGAATCGAACCCAGGACTTCATGCGTGCTAGGCAAGCACTCTCCCACTAAGTCACATTCCCAGCCCTGGCTGTTGGTTTTTTAACTTGTTTTATGTGAGTATGCCCATACACATGTGTGCCCGTCCTGGGGTTTGGACCGTAGGTGCTGTCCCTGAGCTTTTGGGCTCAAGGCTGGTGCTATACCACGCAAGCTGCACTTGTGGCTTTCTGCTGGTTAATTGGAGGTAAGAGCCTCAAGGACTTTCTTGCCCAGATTAGCTTTGAACCTTCAGCCTCAGATCTCAGCCATACAAATATCTAGGATTACAGGCATGAGCCACCAGCCCCTGACTTCCATGAGGCTCTTATCTCCAGTTAACTAGAAAAATGCCAGATTGGAGGTGTGGCTCAAGTGGTAGAATACAGGTGTTGTGTTC